TACACACACACACACACACACACACACACACACACACACACACACACACACACACACCACACCACCACACACACACACACAACACACATATATGATATATATATATATATATATATATATTATATATATATATATATATATATTCACATCTACGTCTTGAGACACCTCAACCTACTCGAAGACCTCTGGTTGTAGTCTGTCGCCACGAGCGTCCAGCGGGAATCTCGCGTAACGAGGTCATTTTGCATGGCCTGTGAAGAGAGGAGATATATGCATGAAAATCATTTCTGGAGAAGTATATATATGAAGGCAGATCACATATCATTAATGACAGAATAGAAAATCATTGAGAGAATTTGATTATCAGTTTGACTGTAGCTATATATATATATATATATATATATATATATATATATTAATATAGATATAGATATAGATATAGATATAGATATATAGATAGATAGTGTGTGTGTGTGTGTATAAATGTATGTATATATATATATATATATATATATATATATATATATATATATATATATATAAATGAGGCTTCCTTATTCCGAGGAAAGTTTTAAAGGGACGCCTTGTTATGTTTGTAGAAAAGGTATGGATGAGAATGATGGATATTCACGGTGCAAGAGATGGGCGTGGCCGGCTGTGTGTGACGAGGATATCATTCATACATTTTCTACATTTGTGTTAATAGACATTGATTGAGTTGTTGGCTCGAGACAGAGGCCATCCCGTGACCTGCGCTGCCTGAACGCCCCTTAGACTAAGCTGACCTTCACGAGCAGGTCTTTCGACTCCTTGCTTGGGATGACAAAGGCTGCACTTGCCTCCTCCTCGAAATCATTCCACTTTCCCGCTATCATTGTGCATTGTTTAAAAGAACCTTCTGGAGCGCATTTTGAACTGCTTCTGCTCATATTGCATAATATAATTTGCGTATCATCAGCTTCCGGAGGTTGGGGAGAGGGAGGGGTGATGAGCAACATGCTGGAGGGCGCTTCTCTGGGTGGAACAACTACCCGCGCTTGGGAAGTTTCAGCAACTTCTTTGTGCAAACACTGGTGTGAAGAGACTCCCTTGAGGATCTCAGCTCTCTCTTAGCTGTTTTCCGGTTGCCATGTTCTCACACGCAGCTTTTTCCTGAGTATTATTTTATTCTCTGTATCCCCTTGTCTAAGCCGTAGTAATAACCCGAATACAAGTTTTTTTTTTTCATAACTAGCTTGGTTACGCTGGGAGAGAACTGTCAGTGCTACCAGATAGACCTTGGATGTTACTACCTTGTGAGCTTATGGTGCAGTATTTGGTTTGCAATGACTTTAAGACTGCATCTGGTTATTTTTCTATATAGGTATTATATGCAGTGTAATGTCACTGCCAAATTATGTAAACAAAATATAAACAAAGCATATAAATTGACATGGAAGCATGTTGAATAATACATGAAATCATATCTTTAATAAATGACGTACTTATTAAGTTTTAGCACATCAACGACAGTGCTCTTGTTCTCTATCGATATTCAGTTCATGCATCATTTAGGAAGCGAACAACCCAGGCAGACAAGAGGGCAGGCACAAGGAAGCAAAAGTCTTGTCTGGTCAGATAGGGTCTAAAGTGACGAACACCTAGGTTATTGTATATACTAGGAAAGATCTATGTGCAATTCATTTAATATTTTCAGTCAGACTATCGAGTCTATACATTGCGTGTGCGAATCTTGCGCGAATCTCTTGCAGAAGACACGGTTAAAGCTCGTGACTGTCGTCGATTTGCAGAAACATAAGAGAATGAGGAGGGAACTAGGCCATTTTCTAAGGTATTTTTTTTAGATCTTGGGAAGTAAACAACCCACAAGTGCCCATAAGATAGTGATGACTAGTATACAATAAGCATTTTTTCCTAAGTATGGCTCCCGACAGTATCCTAGGTAAAGATTTCCTCAGTTTTCTTCATGAACTTGCTTTTACTGAAACAATCATAATGACTTATTTTTATTCATTGTCTTATTTATTATCATTCTTATTTATTAGTTCCAGCATATTATAGAAACTACTGATTGCGATATGATGAAACTTGCCACTTCGATGAATTTCCGATAAAGCTTGCCACTTGGTAGGAACCTTGAAATCTATACTCTCCACTTTGGCAACAGTAACATACCTTTACACACACTTGGAGAGACGCGATCTAGCCAAGGAATGGAGACAAATAAGGACAGGGCAGGCTTTTCATGTGAATTTTTAAAGTTTAACTCCTATGGCAGCGAAAGCCTAAAAGCTGCAGGAAGGTTCCAGAGACACGGGAAAGGGGGCGGTCACATGCACCAAATCGAAAGGGTCGATTGGAGGGCATTCAAGGGAGTGTTAGCAGATTTCTCAATTTACAATTTGTGTTTTATTTTAATTTTCATTCTTAAAAAAAACATGCAGGCAGATTCTAACATCTTCAGATCGCTAAACAAAAGGGTATATCTTTCTGGGGGCTACTTAACAGGGGTCTTACAGCATTACCAAGTTGGTTATTATTTTCATCATACACCGAACCTGACACAGCCTTCCTCCTTCATATTATATTAATGACCAAGACAGCGTGAGCGGCTTTTATATCACCAGATACTCATGCAATGACTCTCTTACTGTACTACACACCACAGATGTGAGCAGTTGTGAAAGACTGGATGGCAATCGGTAGTTAATATATATATCATGTAACGAATGTCATAGGATCTACGGTTTTGAAGTCGTATTCATTGATCATTGTTTCACTGGATCTGATATATTTTGGCATAAGAAATATGGCATCATTTTTGTACCTGCAAAAAGCTACTAGTTAAATTTGTTGTCTATCACAAAGAATTGAGCAAAGGTGACGATCGCATAATCAGCATGAGTTTCCCTGTGGCACTCGAGTAAATTTAGGGTTCACACAACGCACTCAGAAAGTTTCACGAGGAATTATCTGTAATTATGAGTCTACCTGTTGGCAACCGCTCTCCATTTGAAGATGTTTTCGTGGTACTTATGAGGCGAGTATGTTAGCATACTATGACCTTGACATCAGCCCAGAACACACCAGAAATCCCTACACCAGTTACAGATGACTGGAAGACAACACAGTTTGCTTCGAAGGATGGACAGCATTTAAAAAAAATAAAATAAAACGGTAGAGGTTCAGAATGGCTGCACAGACTTTGCGAAATGATGACTTGCTGCCCTTATTACTAATTGGGCCTTGCCCTTGTTATCAAAAAGTGCTTGACCGTTCCGAAGTTTTGCCGTTGCCTTGGTGATGTCTGTTTCAGAAAGCAAATGATTCTGGAAACGAAGCAGATGACCCTCCAAATGAGATCTTGGCTGATTTTCATTTATGTGAACGGAATATTTGAAAATTGTATTTGATAAAGCGAAATATAAAAAGCGATAGAATTAAAGTTATTCAGTTTAATGTGCTTCCTTTCGTATTGTCCTACAGTAATTTGGTCAATGTGGTGGCCATATAGAGGCGTGTGTGAGTGTATGTGTATATATATATATATATATATATATATATATATATATATATATATATATATATATATATATATGTATATATATGTATATATATATGTATGTATATATATATATATATATATATATATATATATATATATATATATATATTTGTGTATATAGACATATGTATATATACATGTATATATACACATATATACATATACATATGAATTGATGTTACATAGACTAAGTGTTATCGGAATACCAATAAATCCACCAAGCAATTTCTTTCCATCATCAGATATTCCATAAATATTCCATAGGTTTATCTAAGGTTTTTTCTTCGCTCCCTCGCGTGTCCAGAAACCGTTTCTCATCTTTAGTGTCAATGTTTGCAGGTTATACAGCATCGTCCTCTAGGGATGTTTGAAAAAAAGGAAGAAAGAAGAAAAGAAAACAATAAATGGAGAAAAAAAACATAAGGGTGTTTGTACAAAAGGAAGAAAAAAGAAAAGAAAACAATAAATAGAGAGAAAAAAAAACATAAGGTGTTTGAAAAAAAGGAAAAAAAAGAAAATAGAGAAAAAATGCTATTTGGATAGGTATGACGTTTCCGGGAGTTAATGAGGCAAGAGGGGAGGCTAATGATTTTTTTGTTTTTAAGGACGATGTAAACAAATTTGACCTCGTATCGGAATGTTTACCTCATGCCTTCGATCGGTTTTGTCTCAAGGGAAGGTTGGTTATATATTTCATTTTATTATTATTATTATTATTCTATTTTCGTTTTTTCCCCTTTTTTCTTTCTTCCTTTCTTTTTTATTAGATCTTGGGAAGTAAACAACCACGGAGTTACATTTTTTATTCTTAACCATGACCACATTTTTTTTTTTTTAAGGACCATGCCCACGGACGGTCAAATAGCGAAGAAATGAGAAAAAATAAAATCAATGATAATAAAACAGATTAGAAAATAAAGTTTACGAAATTGAGAGAGAGAGAGATAGCAGTCTCCTTCACCATAAGAAAAAAAAAAAAAGAAAAAAAGAGAAATTGAGAGAGAGAGAGAGAGAGAGAGAGAGCAGTCTCCCTCACCATAAAAAAAAAAAAAAATATGCACAAAGCCTCCCTGACCTTATCGAAGAGCGCGGATATCTCCTTGGAAGTCCCGAGGATGACGTAGTAGGACGGCGCCGGTCGCATCTTCTTCAGCGTCTCCGTCGTGTTGGACATGATCCCGGCCAGGACGATCACGCGGACCACCGAGCCTTCGACGAGGTAGTAGAGGGCCTGGTCGAGCTCTGGAGGGGGAGGGGGAAGGGGGAAGGGGGTGGGGTGTTAATGGGTATTGTTTTTTTTTTCGTGTTTTTCTTTTTATTTTTCATTTATTTTTTTTTATTTTTTTATTATTATTTTTTTGTCTTTTTCGTGTTTCTTTTCGTTTGTTTTCCTTGGAGGTGTTTTTATCGTGTTTTTCTTGTTTTTTGTGTTTTCGCGTGTTTCGGTGTTTTTGTTTTTTTTTTCGTTTTTTTTTTGTTTTCTTTTTTTTCTTTTCTTTTAGAGGTGTTTTTCCTTTTTTTCTTGGAGGTGAAGGTGGTATGGCGTCACGAGAAGTCTTATTTTACTGAAGGGGAAGGTGGTGTTGTATTAATAGTATTAATAGCTATTGTTTTTTTTTTTTTTTTTTTTTTCAAGGGGGAAGGTGGGTATGGCATCACAAAATGCTTTCATGGACAGGTGGTATTGTTTTTATTTATTTTTCCCCTTCTGATGTGGTGTCATAAGGTGCTTTAACATATCCGAGGGGGGAGCAGGTGGTACTGTATTACTTTTTTCTGAATTTGATGGTGGCATGACGTCACAAGATCCTTTAATTTCTTAGAGTGGGAAAGTGGTATCGCGACATTAATTATTCCAATAGATAATAAAGAGCTTGGTCAGAGGAGGAGGTGATAAAGCTTAATTACTCTAAAGGCGAAGCTGCTAACGTAATCATAATCATCCTAATTATTCTGGTAGTATTAAGTCACGACGATGATTATTATCGGCATTTGTTAGCCTGGTAGTTAGAGGTGGTATTCTGATACTTTCTGCCCCAATTATTTTGTCAATAATTGTTAATGAGCACTTAGTGTTACACAGTGGATCGATCATTAGATTCACATTAGCATAAACTTTCTTTTTTTTTAGAATTTCATATGAATTTATATGTCACGTGCGTTGTACTATTCGAGATCGGGTTTTGTAAATGTTTTAGTGAATATTAACATAAACTTTCTCTCTCTTTTTATAGAATTATATATGAATTTATATGTCATGTGCACTGTACTATTCGAGATCAGGTTTTGTAAATGTTTTAGTGAATATTAACATAAACTTTCTCTTCTTTTTTTTTAGAATTATATATGAATTTATATGTCATGTGCGTTGTACTATTCGAGATGGAGTTTTGTAAATGTTTTAGTGAAAATATCTTCCACCTTCTCCATTCTTGAAATCTTTCGTCTAACTTTCATGCAACCTGGAGGATTGAAAATCAATTGATCGGGTAAGTTTAGACACACAAAGAAACGGATGATTATTTAAGTGCAGACCAACACACTGGCCGCCATAAAAGAGGAATATACACACTCGACACGCACACGCATTCAGATACATATACGTACACATACTGGGGCGTATGGATATGTACACATTAACAGAGCCTATGCCTATTCCCCTAAAAAGAAGGAGAAAGAAAGAGACGAGGAAGGGATATAAGACAAAGAGACAGAGAAAAAGTCAGGAGAAGAGAGAAAGACAGACAGGCAAACCAAATAACCAGACAGACAAAAACAAAAAGACAAAGAAAGAAAAACAATGAATAAATAAATAAATAAATAAATCGTAAAAACACATTACCCCATTTTTTAAAGCCAATCACCCTAAGTTAATAACCCTACCCCCACCCTCACCCACCATCACGCCCACCCCCTTACGTCTTCCTTGATCAATACCAGAACTGCCGAAACACAAGCACTTCACTTTCTGCTCTCAGGAAGCTCACCCTCGGCTACAAGGTCGAGGTTTGTGTGTGTTTGTGAAAGCTTCTTCTGGTACGCACACAGGCATACGAAAAAAATGCTGACACGTAAATACACACGGACATATACACATACTGATGCACACACATATACACGTACACTGTACATGCACATACACATATACACACATACGCATACACATACACATACGCATACAAATATGTATTTGCATACGAGCATAGATCTAGAAAGATAGGTAGGTAAGAAGGGAAAAAGATAGATAGATATACTATTATATACATAATTACTTGGATAGGCAGACAGATATACCTATAGATAGCTAGATAAACAAAGAGACATGCAGGCAAACAGACAAACAGACGGGCAGACCGATATATAAACATAAAGAAACAGATAGACAGGTAAATAGACGAATAAATTATACATAAATCTTCTCTCTCTCTCTCTCTCTCTCTCTCTCTCTCTCTCTCTCTCTCTCTCTCTCTCTCTCTCTCTCTCTCTCTCTCTCTCTCTCTCTCTCTTCCCCTCTCCTCTCTCTCTTCCCCCTCTCTCTCTATTCCCCTCTTCTCTCTCTCTCTTCCCCCCTCTCTCTCTTCTCTTTCTCTCTCTTTCCCCTCCCTCTCTCTCTCTCTTTCTCTCTCTCTCTCTCTCTCTCCCTCTCTCTCTCTCTCTCTCTTCCCCCTCTCTCTCTCTCTCTCTCTTCCCTCTCTCTCTCTCTCTCTTCTCCCCCTTCCCTCTCCCTGTCTCTCTCCTCTCTCTCTCTCTCTCTCTCTCTCTCTCTCTCTCTCTCTCTCTTCTCTCTCTCTCTCTCTCTCTCTCTCTCTCTCTCTCTCTCTCTCTCTCTCTCTCTCTCTCTCTCTCTCTCTCTCTCCTCTCTCCCTCCTCCTCCCTCCCTCCCTCCCTCCCTCTCCCTCCCTCCCTCTCCCTCTTCTCCCTCTCCCTCCCTCCTCCCCCTCCTCCCTCCCTCCCTCCCTCCCTGCTCCTTCCTCCCTCCTCTCCCCTCCCTCCCTCCCTCCCTCTCCCCCTCCCTCTCCTCCCCCTCCCCTCTCTCATTCTCTCTCTCTCTCTCCTCTCACTCTCACTCTCACTCTCACTCTCTCTCTCTCTCTCTTCTCTCTCTCTCTCTCTCTCTCTCTCTCTCTCTCTCTCTCCTCTCCCTCTCCCTCTCCCTCTCCCTCCCTCTCCCTCTCCTCTCCCTCTCCCTCTCCCTCTCCCTCTCCCTCTCCTCTCCCTCTCTCCCTCTCTCCCTCTCTCTCTCCCTCTCTCTCTCTCCCCTCTCCCTCCCCCTCCCCCTCTCTCCCTCTCCCTCCCCTCTCCCTCTCTCCCCTCCCTCTCCCTCCACCTCTCCATCTCCCTCTTCTCCCTCTCTCTCCCCCCTCTCCTCTCCCCCCCTCCCATCCCCATCCCCTCTCCTCTCCCTCTCCCTCTCCCTCTCCCCCCTCTCCCCCTTTCTCTCTCTCTCAAGGAAAAGGAATTCGTGAGCTCCCTCCATTCCCTCGGTAACCTAGGTCTTAGGAAGGAGGGCGGGTCACGTGGACAGCCCGGGGAGCGGAGGGGCGATCTCACATTCATGCACAGTCGCTCATCGTGGAACGTTCATGGCTCACCTGTTGAATAATTGAGGCGGGGTGCGAGGTATGAACGTATGTACACACGCACGTTGTTTTTTTTTAGTGTGTGTGGATATACTTGCGTCGGTATATGTGTGTGTGTGTGTACGCGGGTGTGGGTGTGTGCGTGGGTATGGGTTTGGGTTTGGTGTGTGAGGGAGTGGATATAGGTTTATGTGTACATTGAGGCAACCATGCACACATACACAAACACACACAGACACTCACACGTACACACACGCACGCATACACACATACACACACTCTTGATTACATCCATGAATGCAAATTTACAACGATTTAATATCCAAGGTAATTACAGTCAATACTCCCTGCTGTCCATTACCTTACGTTTATAAATAAAAGATGAATTTTGAAAAATGAACGGAAGACAAAACAAAACAAAGAATAAATGCATATTAATAAACACAGACAGATTAGAAGCGATAGCGATATGATTATTAAATGTTATCATGATGATGGTTATTAAAATCAGAGTACAACAAGAAGTCATTTTGTGAAAAAAGGAAATCGAAATCATAGGAAAAAAAAACATGGAAAAACAATCCTTTGAAAATAATACATTGGGAAATCAATTTTATAAAAGGGAAAATAACCGGAGAAATATCAATTAGCGAAGAAAGAATAATTTGCATAATCATTAGATCAGCTGTGCCTATCCTGCAGTCCTTATATCTCAAGAGATCCGTAGATGTTTACTTGGGGTCCTTAAGGTGTATGTAGACTTTCGTGAGCTAAGTGTAAGTGTAAAATTTCAAGAGGTAAAAACTTTTCAAAATTTGGTGCAAATGTTTGTAATCCAAAGAAAAAACGTACAAAATAACAAAAAAACAAAATAAAACAATACACGACCACATAAACACAGCAGAGTCTAAACCCATCACATGGAGAAAAAAATCCAACTAAATTAAAACAACAAATAAAAATAGAAGAGATTCCCCCTCAGCCCCAGACATAGAAAACGGGAAACTTCGAACTCACGAGCCTCTGTGCCGAAGATGAGAGCAGCATCCGTGGCGTTCCTGCTCTGGAGGAGATCGTCCACAGCTGACATCCACTGATAATTCGAGATCTGCAGGCGCACGTACGGGATTCCGTGGGCGGCAGCGGTTTCACGCCCGTACGCCCACCCCCCTGCTGTCACGTCCAACAGGAGGGCGGCGCCGTTGAAGATGGAGGAACATACTGCAGGGAGAATGGGATAGGTAAGGCTAGGGTTTAGGATGTGTACGCTTGGCAAGGGTATTTCAATCTGTGATTTTTTCCCCTTTATTTGTTGTTTCTTTATTTATTTCCATGATCTTGTGGATCATGATAAAAAAAAATGACTGGAAAATTTGGTAACATTGTTTGTTTGTTTTTCATCATCAACTCTGTTCTCTCCGTCATGGGATAAATTGCAAACTCCCTTTTCTCTCCGTCATATCCTCAAAAGGATAATTTACACAGCGTCTCCCTCATCCCTCCTTCGTATCCTTCTGTAACATCTACTTACGCTGTTCTTGGCCCAGTTCCTCGTTATCCAGGGACACGGTGACGACGTCGTGGTTCAGGGTGACTTTGGACGCCTTCTCCGCCTGCGAAATCCCGGCCTCAAGCCACGCAGCGCCCTCCTTCAGGCTCTCGTCCACGGCGCTGACTGGAGGAAGGTCCAAAATTATTTTTAGTGGCGTTAAAAGGTTGATTTTTTTTTTTTTTTTGGGGGGGGGGGGTGTAACTGTACTAAAGAAGCTTAAAAGGAGATTTTTAATATTTTGGTCATTATACAAAAAGGGATGTTTTTTGGGGGATTTTGAAGTGTTATAAAAAAATCCAGGAA